TTTCTGTTGTTTTTTAAAAAAGCTAAAGTGGATACAGAGAAATACTGTTAACTGATGGTACCTAGAGTGGATTATAATCAATGTAATGAAACAAGGTGTATGATTTGTTGACTGTAAAACTGATGATATGCCCTGTAAACTTTCACTCAATCCACAAAAACCTTAAATTAAAAAAAAAATTTTTTTTTAAATCTCCTACCCAACTCAGTATCAATAACCAAACCCACTGCCATCAAGTCTATTCTGACTCAGAAATCCCATATGGGGTTTCTGAGACCTTAGTGGTGAATCTTCATGGGTACAGACAGTCAGTCACATGTTTCTCCAAGAGAATACAACCACCGACTTTGCGGTTAGCAGCCCATCACTCACAGTGGTGGTGGCTGTGTGGCATGCCTGTACAGGGTTTCCGAGGCTGTAAGTCTTTCCGGGAGCAGAACACCTCATCTTTCTCCTGCGGAACACCTGGAAGTTTCGAACTGCTGTCCTTGCGATTCGCAGCCCAATAGTAACCACTACAAACTCACAGTATCAAACCAAAACCCAGAAGCCAAAAGCCAAACCCATGATTTCGACTCAAGAGTTTTGGAAGCTGCAAATCTACATAGGAGCAGAAAGCCGCATCTTCCAAAGAGGGGCTGGTGGGCTTGAACCACCAACCTCGTTCATTGCTTTTCCTACAGTGCCACCAGGGTTAGTTTATAGTAACAATGCATCTTTAAGTATCTTGCAAATAAATACGAACAATGGTATGTTTTGTATTCATCTTTGACCAAAAACACATTCCTTTTCCTATTAGCCATATTTAGCTTGGATTACGTTTGGCTCATTCTCCAGTTGAGATGTTAAGTGCCAACGAGTTGGTTCAGACTCTGTATAGGGTTTCCCAGGTGCAACTGCCAGATTTGAACCACCAACCTGTGGTTCACAGTCCAGTGCTTATCCTACAACGCCACACAAGGAGTACTCATAACCACCTGTTTCCAAGAAGCCAATGCTTTGAACTGTCAACTTTGGAGTATGGCAGTTCAGTGCTTATTCTACAATGCCACATCATGGCTGTGATACAAAGTTCCAGTGTACGTCTAATCAAGTAAAATCTCACAAGATCACCCTTAATTATGACCTCCTTACAAAATTTCCTCTTATTAAGTGCCGTCCAATTGATTCCAACTCACAGTTTAGGGTTTCCGAGGAGTGGCTGGGGAGTTTCAACCGCCGACGTAGCATTTCAAACAGACCTTGAAGTAGAGTGCTTATCCTAAGTAATCCTATAAAGTGTAACACCTGAGTTGGGTTTTTTTTTTTTTTTTTTGTGTGTGTGTGTGTGTGTGTGTGTGTGTGTGTTTGTTTTAATTTGCACTTAACTTAATACTTCCAAATATAGCGATGGATGTTAACAAGGATGCCTGGAGAGATGGGAGGTGGGAACGAGAAAAAAATCAGGGTGAAAAAACAATTTAGCAGTTTCCATTTCCACCTTTATCCCAAGAGAATTTAAATGGGAAGGAAAAAATGGAGGCAGAACCTCCATTATTCAAGGATAACCCACAAAAAAAGCAAAACATGCTAAATTTGCGAACTGCGTTTTATCCTAATATGCTTTCAAGTAATTTTTAAAGGATTTCCCCCCTTAAATCCAAAAATCTTTTTGCTTTATCCTGGAACAGCTGGATCTCATCTCAACCTGTATCCACACTCTCGCCAATGTGCATACACACATACACACACACTCTCGTTACCACTGTGAGAGCCTGTGCCAAACCAACCATCACAGGAAAACTAAACCATCAGGTTCATTTTCCTAATTCGCTCTAAAAACAGTCACAATCCTTTTTCTCAAGAAAATTATCCTACAGCAGGAGATGGAGGGAACGGAAGACACAGCTCATTATCACGCAGCTTCCCATTGACCACAGCGAATAAAATGGTAATAACTTCCAACAAGAGACAACTACTCTTCTAGTGTCCCCGTTAGACCTAAAAATAAACACAAATAAACCAAGGGTTTTCTGAATAGAAAACCAAACTATTTTACTTTGAAGCAACACAGCTCCTTAAAAATCCTCCAGAGGTTGGGGGGTGGCCTATCGTTCCACGTCCCCCCCCCCATATAGAGAAGCAGAATTTTGTCAAATAGCAAATGCCACCGTCCGCCTCCCCCGCCATTCCCAACACTGACCAGCCGCGAATGCGGGGGCGGACGAGGGCAGGAGAAGCCAGGAGGCGGGGGCACCACACACGCACCGCGCCGAGGACCGATTCACAGATTTAAAACATGTTTTAAAGCTCCAATTTGCTTCAGCCCGATGATTCCCATTCACTCTCCACCCCCAGTTCTAGCCCTTCACCCTGCAGCCCCCGTCGAGCGCTCCGGCGGCGGCCTGGGCCGCCGCTCCCCACGCCCCCAGGAACGCGGCCCCCGACACGGGGGTCCTCCGTGCGCCCCTCACCGCCGAAACCCCATGCGCCCAAGTCAGGAAATGCGTCTCACCTGGATGTAGTTGTTCTCGCAGTAATCGGCCACCCGTTCCAGATTTGTGTAACTGTCGAAGAGGGCCCGGCGGCCCCCCGGGATTTCCTCCTCCAGCAGCATCTGCAATTCCGCCATCTTCACATCCTCCTCTTCCACCTCTTACAGACCGCAGAGGTAGCGGCGGCAGCAATGCCAGGGAAACCCAAGACTGGGAGAGGAGGAGCAACAGTGGCGGCGACCGGGAGGAGCGAGAAACACCCCCCGCGTGCGACAGGGGAGGGGGCGGCGAAAACGGGGGCGGGGCGCGAGCCGACGGACAGCGAGAACGGTCACCGCGGCGACGGCCGGCCGGGCACGCGCACGCGCGCTCCGCCCCCGTGCTCCCGAAAAAGATTCCCACCCTCAGCCGCTCCGCCCGCCCCTCCCCCACTTCCGGCGTCTCCTAGCGACGGCACTGGGTAGGAAGGAGGCCTGGATGCGAGCGGGAACCCGGCGCGGTTAACCCTTCGGCCCCCCCCCGGCAGGTTACTGGGCCCCCGGACTCCCCTAGGCAGCCTTTGTTAGCCGGTGAAGAGCTGCTCTCTGGCTTCGCTGTCTTCCCGCCGGCGTCTTCCGTGACTTTCTGTGTTACTCTCAACCTGGGGCCGAAACCCTGTGGAGGTCGTCGGCCAGAGGAGCCTCGCTAGGGCTCATGATTGGAGGCCGAAGAGTTCGTCCAACGTGAAAGATCACATCTTATCAAGGGCTGGGATAAAGCTCAGAAAACTTCCATGCAGCCTTAAGTGCCACCTCTGTTGTCATTGTTCTCTTCATCTTTGAGCGCTTCCTTTTGGGTACAGATAAGTGAATTCCAGTCTCTTAATCCTGAGTCTCCTGCACTCTCGTTTGATTGCACGTCTTTGCCCACCAACGCTGTTCTGCTCAGGATCGCAGCTTTGTGTGCTTGCCCCCTTCGGATTCTCTTCCTCACGGACAACCAGTTCTGTCATTTCTTCTCTGCCGCTTGCAGCTTCATTGTTATTTTTCTTCCTCCATTTAGTATTTGAAATTCTGAAAACGGTTTTGCTGGTATTAATTTCCTTCCTCGCTGCGCTAGATAAAATAAAAGTTTATGTGAAACACCTTGTAAAAGGTGAAATGCTCCGAAAACGGAAGTTAAGACAATTTTGATTTTACAGTAAACGCATTCTGTTCTTATTCTCCAGATATTCGGCTTATATGTATATTTTTACTAAATGTCATTATGTAAACGAACAACTGTTGAGAAATTAAGTCCAGAGCTTTTATTTGTCCGGTGGAAAGTCATATTTGGTACCATCATCTTAAGCATATGGAATTTAGAACACAATCTATTACTTCAACTCTTGCCCTCGTTGTGTTGATCTCTTGGTTCCTGTACTGATTTTTCTCTTCTCAGATGATGAGGAACAATTACTTTCTTTTAAAAAATTATTTTAATACCATATCATTACAGAAGTTCTGGAACGGTCCGTGTTCTATTGGCTTTATAATATATACATTAACACATTGTATGCATTTTCACTGTGTAACATAAAGTATATTGAAAATGTGAGTCTGTTCACTAACTAGTAGTATTCTTAAGCACTTTATAAACAGCTTCTGTATTAGGACTTCTTCAAACTCACCAGCCCCTCTTTGGAAACCCTATACAGGATCATGATGAGTTGAACCGCTGGGCAGCACTTAACAACAACAACAACAAACCTTAATGGGAGAAGCTTGTAGTAGGAGGGTAGGGATGAAATGGGCATATAAACATGTTTCAATACCATTGAAACCACTGGTATTGGAACATGTTTCAGGGGGAAAAAACCACATGTAAATAACCGAATTAATAAAACAAACATTATATCAGGCACACTTTTCTTTCAGACTAAAGTTCAATGGGTAGTGCTGAATTTTAAGAAGCCAACCAGGTGTGGTAGGCCCACTCTTCACCACTACACTCCTTCCCACCTACCACCATCCTTTCAAATTAAAAAAACAAAAAACAAAAAAACATTGCCACAGTGTTGACTCAGACCTAGAAGACAGAGTTGTTGTTGTTAGGTGCCATCTAGTTGGTTCCAACTCATATAGTCCCTGTATAGAGTTTCAGAGGAGCCACTAGTGGGTTTGAACCGCTGACCTTGTGGCTCAAACTGACCTTGCAGTCCAACGCATTATCATGCAGCTAACTATCCTATAGGGTCTCAAAGGCTGCAAATCTTTATGGATGTAAACTGTCACATCTTTTGCCTGTGTACGGGCTGGTGGGTTTGAACTGCCAACTTTTGCATTAACAGTTAAGAACCGCAGCACCATCAGATTTCCCTGAGGGAATGAGTCTTCATCTTAGGACTCACTGGGTGTTTCCAGTCTCATCTCATATACATGGGGAAGCTGGACAATGAATACAGACAATAGGAGAAGAATTGGTACATTTAAATTAAGGTGTTGGTGAAGAATACTGAATATATTACTTATGGACTGGCAGAAAAGCAAACAAATCTGTCTTGGAAGAAGTATAGATATAATGCCCTTTAGAAGCAAGGAAAGCATTTATCTCATGTACTTTGGACATGTTATCAGATGTCCTATGTTAACCTGCCCCTAGAGAAGGACATCATGCTTGGAAAAGAGGACTGTGGAAAAAGCAGAAGACCCTCAGTGAGATGGATTGACACACTGCTTACAACAATGGACTCAAACATAGCAACAATCATCAGGATGGCACCAGATATGCAATGTCTCGTTCTGTTGGACATAGATAGGGTTGATATTAGTACCAACGTGATGGCACCTAACAACAAAACAACAACAGAATCTTTAAGACAAGCAAAGGACTGCTAACCACAAGATCGGGCAGTTCAAACCCACTAACCATTTTTTCAGAAACACTACTCAGTGTCACTGTGAGTCTTTACAGCACTTAACAACAAGAGTCAGCAGGAGGACAAGGCAACCCACTGTAAGATTCTAAACACTCTTAGTTTGTGACAAATAACCCCTTCAGAAGTTAATTTTTTTAGCTGGAAAAAAAAAAAAAGGTTAAACTCAGGGCAGCAGTTCTCAACCTTAGGCGGGCATCAGAATCACCTGGGGCGGGGGGGGCTTGTTAAAACACTGATTACAGGACTCTACCCAGAATTTTTTACCAGTTTGTGTAGCCCAATATTTTGTATTTCTAACAAATCCACTAAGAGTCCCTAATGGTGCAAATGGTTAACATGATCAGCAGCTAACTGAAAGGTTGGGGGTTCAAATCCACCCAGAAGTGCCTCAGAGTCAAAGACTAGCAATTCAGAAAATTAGCTATAGAAAACTCTATGGATCCCAGTTCTCCCCAAGTAATGCCAGTGAACCCAGGAGATGCCAATAAAATGGCCCTTCTTCCAAAGGGCTATGATTCTAATTGCAAGCAGCTGTGAGTCTCTACCAAGAACGAAGTTTGAACCTTCAGCATAATCGTCAACAGCTGACATTTTGACTATTTGTTCCACCCAAGGATTCTTCTATCAGCTGGTTATTTTTCACTAATCACAAAGCTATCTTCTGTTTAGGACTCCTGATGTGGCACTGTAGGATAAGCACTGGACTGGGAAGAACATGTCAACAGTTCAAACCTACCAGCTGATCCTTGGAAACCCTATACAGGGTGGTTATGAGTCAGAATTGACTCTATGGCACTTAACAATAACAACAATCTTCTATTTAAGAGCAAGTGGCTGTTCCTTTTAGGTTCAAAACAGGACAAACAAAATTCAAATTGAAGTGTAACTATTACATACAGGCTTCAGTATGGATCAAAGAGCACAGCCTTCGGTATGGATTGCATCTCAATGTAAAGAAAGCAAGAATCCTCACCACAGGTCCAATAAACAACATTCTTATCAACAGAAAAGACTGAAGTTGTCAAGGACTTCATTCTTCTTAGATCAACTATCAACACTCATGGAAGCTGCAGTCAAGAAATCAAAGGATGCATTGCATTAGGCAAATCTGCTGCACAAGACCTTTTTAAAGTGTTGAAGAGCAAAGATGTCAGCTTGAGGATTAAGGTGCGCCTGACCCAAGCCATGGTATTTTCAATAACCTCATATGCATGCGAAAACTGAACAGTGAATAAGGAAGACAATAAAAGAATTGACACATTTGAGTTAAGGGGTTGGAAGAAAATATTTTGAAAGTGCCATGGACTGCCAAAAAGAACCAATAGATCCATTTTGCAAGAAGTGCAGCCAGAGTGCTCCTTGGAGGCCAAGATGGCCAAACTTCTTCTCTCAGACTTGGGACATATTGTCAGGAGGGACCAGTCGCTGGAGAAGGATCTCATGTTTGGTAAGGTTCTGTTGAAAAAGATGAAAAGAGGAAGACCCCCAGCGAGATGGATTGGCCAAGTGGCAGCACTGATGGACTCAAGCATGGCAACAGTAGTGTGGTTGGTCCAGGATCGGGCAGGGTATCGTTCTGCTGTGCATAAGGTCGCTATGAGTCGGTACTGACTTGATGGCACCTAATAACAACAACATTACATACAGAGTGATTCCTTCTGATCTTAGAAAAGTCAGAATGCTCACTTATTCATTCTTCAAGTAAATTTAACATGGATGCATTAAGAAGAAAGGACCAGGAAAGCAATGCTAAAGGTGCACTCTGGAGGCAATCCAGGTAATAGATGATGGTGATTTTCAGGGAGAAGAAATTAAAGAAATGACTAACAAATGTCTAAGAGCTAAAATCATTAGAAGTTAGTGAATGACTAAATACAGAAGTTAATGAAAGGGATGAGTCAATGCTGGTGGGCAGGTTTTGGGTTGAACGACTAAGTATTTGGTGGTGCTGGTGATGGTTATGTGCCGTGGAGATGGTTCCGACTCATAGTGACCCTGTACAGGGTTTCCGAGGCTGTAAATCTTTATGGGAGTAGAAAGCCTCATCTTTCTCCCGCTAAACAGCTGGTACTTTCGAACTGCTGACCTTGTGGTTCGCAGCCTGATTCGTAACAATTACACTACCAGAGCTGCTTTTGCTCTCCAGACTAGAGAAGAAAAAGGAAATAGAAGAATTGAAGAGGTCCAAGAGCTGAACAGAAAATTTCAAAGATCAGCTCGAGAAGATAAAACCAGGTACTATAATAAAATATGCAAAGATTTGGAACTAGAAAACCAAAAGGGAAGAACACGGTCAGCATTTCTCAAGCTGGGGGAACTGAAGA